CGATCTCTGGCACAACACTACGAGCTACAGGGAAGGATAAATTCATGTTGGCGTAGGAGATTGGAGAGAGGATGACGGACTGCCTTGGTAAGATGCGACGTTTCCCAGCCCAGCGAAAAATATAGTCACAGACTCACAAAATCATTGAAGGATATGAAAATTCGTGTTGCGTGATGAAATGACATGAGATGAATAGATCAATTATTTCTTCTTTCTTGGATCTTCTAATCAGAACACAAGTGCTCGTTCCTCTTGTATTGCTTCCACACCTGCTAAGCTCTGTCTCTACTTGGTGTCCCATGTTTTCTGGAGTAGGTCTTCATAATTATTATCTTAGTTTCATTGATACCAGGCATTCTGTGCAGGCAATGTATTCTTATTTATGGCACATATACATTTCAGATGGGCACCAAAATTTCCTTGATGGAAGTTGGATAGGTAGACATCGCTTTGGCATGAAAAAAGAAATTTCCAAAAATTATGCCTAAGCCACCTTTTTGCTTGGCTCGGCTCATATGATGCATTTGCGAATTTCAAAATGGGATTGCTGTTATATGGGGGCTTAGAACCTCCCCAAATTTTGTGACTTTTATTTATTTTGTTTTTTGTTAATGGCAGTGGGTTGTGTTTTCAAAAATTTAGAACAGTTCCGAAATACCAGGCGGTGCTACCTAGAAGTACAGTGCGGCATCATATGACTCGACATACCATAGGCATCAATAAAAGGGCGAATTTGGCTTAGAAACACACGTGAATAACGTGAAGAGGAATACATTTGGGAGCAAGGAGATTGGGGACCATGAAGGTGGTGATTTGTACATATGGACATGCTAATATGCACATTTCACTTGTCCTTAAGGTCAATATCGTAATCTCGAATCCTGCCGATACAGACAAATTTATTTGTCCTAAGTTTGGAAAGTGATGCACTATGTCATCTGCAGCATGGAATGATATGAAGTGCCAGCAGGCAGTTCTAATAACCTAGGAACGTCCTTTGAGTTTACGTTGGTCTGGCGGAAGCCATGGTCAGTAGGCGCAGTGTCGCTGCCGATAAAGCATTTCATTTGATTTTGAATTTTTTTGGGCAGGAGTTTGGGGATAGATGCGAGGAGAGGACCTGGAGCATTGTGCGCGAGCAATTAGAAGTGACCGAACACAGAGACACATAGTTATATGCTTCAGATGATGATATAATACTAATTGCTCCGGTTTCTAGATCAATCTGATACAGGACCGGAGTCAAGGGAGCAAGAGGATAATGGTGGTGATAAAGCTATGGAGCCATGGTGGAAAGAGGTGGAAAAAAAAATAGTTGCAAAATAATAAAAAGGCTGATCAGAGGTGTATGCACTGTACATAGCACAATAGCTCGTGCATGGTGTACATTCGAAAGAAAAATCGTACATCGAAGCACAACATCTGGGTTATCAGCATGAGTAAATATTCACTTTGGACAGAGGAGGCAACCATTGGTCATGGTGCCTATGCTTCGCTGGAATATTGTACTCAGACTTCAGCAGCGGTGCAAAGAGCTCCGGAACGACGCATCCTCTCAGCTAAGGCGATCAATGCGGTCTGGTGTAAGCTCATAGAATATTGCTCCCAGATGCGGAACAAACGATTTACCAACGCTGGCCTAGGCTAGAGGCCATTTCTGAATCCCAGCTTCGCAGTATGCAACCTGTACACACTGATGACTCGCACAATCGTACACTCACTGTGCATGTTCGATTTTTTTTTCCCGAAAAAATCAAAACGTATGCGTGCGGACGACGCGAAACATAGCTATAAAAAATGATGGCCTTACTGATTGCGGTTATCAAATTGTTGTCTCCTCGCTGGTTGTTAAATTATTGTTTGACTTATTATTGCTATTTGCATTTTCGCATCATCGTCAATCAAATGATTGATAATTTCGCTTATGCTGAGTGGTGGTAAGCAGATATCAAATCTGCAAGATGCTGATGTTTAGGCAGAAAGCAACATGCACGACGGAAAAAAGAAAACAGGATAAGTATGGTTATCGAATGCGATACGGTATGATAGTTATTGCATGTTGATATTGTGATAAATGGTGTGATTCTATTGCTACAGTGTAAATACTGAGGGGTTGATAATCATAATGATATTATGTTATTCGGGTAATATAAGGTAGTATTTGGATGTTTGATGATATTACATTTCCAGTTGATATTGATAGGGTCAGTGAGTGTCAACCCAAGTAAAATGGAACGTACTCAGGTGCTCAGAAGCAACGAAAGGATTGGTGAGGAGTGGAGAATGGTCCGAAAAAAACTAGGATCTCTTCTTGGCGACGAGGTTGACGTAGCACGAAGGAAGCAGCTTGCTTCAGGGGCCTTCACTTCGATGTTTTACCTCTGGAAACGGAGATCTGCTGTGAGTGAGCATCTGCGCCTGTGACTGTAGTCGGCGTTTGTCCTACCCGTCCTCGCATACAACTGTGGCACTTGGGGCCTCACGCAATCTGCTTTCCAGAAGTTGGATGCCTTCCACCGACGTCAGTTGCGGTCTCTCCTTGGCATCAAATGGCCACAGCGCATCTCCAATGAAGCACTGTACCAGAGGTGCCAAATAGAGGAGATCAGCATCTTCGTACGCCTTGCTAGGTGGCGTCTATTTGGTCACATCTTGCGGCTGCCACCATCAACCCCCGCAGTATCGGCAATGGAAATCTGTTTCGCAAACAACAGCACCAGATGGCTTGGCCGGCCATGCATCACTCTTCCCAGCGTGCCGCATCAAGATCTGCAGAAAGCCGGGCAGGGTAGATTCCTGACTCTGGAAGATCTCCATTTCTCCGGGCAACAGCTGCCTGTCGTAAGAGCTGGAAGGCTCTGCGTGTGGCAATATGTTCATCCAACTAGTTACAAATCAATGTACTTGTAATCCTATATTAGCCCGACAGTGCAAATCAACCGGATGTATCTCCTTAATTTGTTCATCTCCCTATGTTTCTCTCTCTCTCTCCCTCTCATTCTCTCTCTCTCTCTTTCTCTCATCTACACCGGTGGGTGGGACGCAGATCTCACTGTAACCCACACACTTGACGTACAATGTACATCTTATCCAAATTCTACTTTGTTCTCCCAGAAATTTGAAGTATAATCAACTGGTTGACCTACCTGACGGGCTGTTCAAAGCCACAACCGAATTACAAACCCTGTAAGTCATGGTGGGCATGTAACGGAAAAGAGGTTTTTTGCGTAGTTCTGTCCAGCTGCCTTTGAGGCATCAAGACGAGGTAGAAGCGGGTGGTCTACATTGTGACGAAAGTGAACTGTACTCAGTGCAGGTGCGCAAGTGAACGCCGTGTCCAGTAGGTCCATCATACACTGCATTTCTTGGAGGAGAGACATGCTCTCTTAATGATTATGAACATGGTAGTAGATGAGTGGGGAAGAAGTGAAAAATCAAACTTAGGTCGTAGATACAGTATGACAGAGAGAACAAAAGAGGAAAGGGAGAAAACGAGAGAGACAGAGAGAGAGAGAGAGGAGAGAGAGAGACAGAATGAGACAGAGAGAATGAGAGAGAGATTGAGAGAGCGAGAGAGTGAGAGAGTGAGAGAGAGAGAGAGAGAGAGAGGGGGCGGGGGGTGAGAGGAGGGAGAGTGAGAGGGGAGGAGGGGAGGGAGAGAGAGGGGGAGAGGGGAGAGAGAGAGAGAGAAAGAGAGAGAGAGAGAGAGAGAGAGAGAGAGAGAGAGAGAGAGAGAGAAAGAGAGAGAGAGAGAGAGAGAGAGAGAGAGAGAGAGAGAGAGGGGGAGAGAGAGACAGAATGAGAGAGAGAGAATGAGAGAGAGATTGAGAGAGAGTGAGAGAGTGAGAGATTGAGAGAGAGGGAGAGGGGAGAGAGAGAGAGAGAGAGAGAGAGAGAGAGAGAGAGAGAGAGAGAGAGAGAGAGAGAGAGAGAGAGAGAGAGAGAGAGAGAGAGAGGGAGAGGGAGAGGGAGAGGGAGAGAGAGAGAGAGAGAGAGAGAGAGAGAGAGGGAGAGAGAGAGAAAGAGAAAGAGAGATAGAGGGAGGGGGAGAGAGGAGGAAGAGAGGAGGCAGGGGGAGATGAATGTTGCTTGCTATAAGCAAATTGTCGGGCGATAGCTGGTGTGCCTCCAAATAGGCAGTGAGCTGTCTCTTAACCATTGTCTCCAGAATACGGGAGATAATGGGGAGGAGAGACACTGGACGATAGTTCTGGGGCAGGTTTGGGTCGCCACATAATGGACTGACATGTGACATTTTGAAGGTTGGCGGAACCTGTCCAGTTCTAAGAGTCATATTGATAATGCTGGTGAGATTCGGTGCAAGAACAGAGGCATGCTACTTGAGCGGGATTATTTTTTTTCTAATTTAGAATTAGATTCTCGCGTTCACAATCCGTCTACACGAGTCGGCTGCTTTCCAGTTTCTAACAGTTTTCTAATGTTTTATACTGGCGACTTTGTGTTGCGAATTTTTCCTTGAGAGCAATTCTCAGCCTAACTGACTTTTACCCGAATTCAACTGAAAGAAACGGCTTCATAAAGTGACTTCTGACGACAGCTGCCGCTTGACTGTCGCTGCCAGCAAACCGTCCAGTCTCGTCCGCCACAGCCGGTTTCTGGGCTTTCCGTCGTCTCATGAGGTGCATAGCCTTAAACATGCATGCCCCGTCCTTCAGCCTCTCACACGCTCTGCTGCTTTGGCCTCCAGAAGCGCCTCAGCATTGGCTCGACACTTGTCTCTAATGGTGTGTTGAAGGTCATTTCGCTGTTTTTCAGATTGGCCTTGGCTGCTGGGTTGGTGAAGTTGTTGATACTCAGACGAATACTATTTTGCGTGAGTGATAGCTCTTGTAACGCAAGATCTGGTTTCTGGTGTCTGCTACGGTTGACGTATCCCAAAATGTCCTTGGCCACCCTGCTTATATAGCTGCTTATAAAGAGTTCAATATTCTTCCAGGATCATACATCCTATCCAAATTCTACTTTGTTCTCCCAGAAGATTGAATAATAATCAACTTGTTCACCTACCTGACGGGCTGTTCAAAGCCACAACCAAATTACAAGTACTGTAAGTCATGTTGTGAATGTACCGTAAAAAGGCGTTTTTGTCGTAGTTCTTTTAAGATGTAGCAAATGGGATTTCGGGATATGGTATCTCGTTGAATGATCCCATGTACCCTTTATGACCCGAAGCTAACACCGCTCGTGGAAGACTTTTCCAGGTAGAACTCTTTTTTGGAAGCAACGAGCTGAGATAGTGTCTTTACAAGTTCCATTGTGCATTCCTTCAAGAAAGAACTAGCTCCCGCGATTTCTTTTCCACTTAGCCACCTATTTAACCTCTCCTTTACCACAGGCAAGTTCCCTACTGAATGGAAACTGGCTAAATTTGTGCCTATTTGCAAGTGCAAAGGCAGCAAATCCCAAGCGAGTAACTATCGCCCAATTTCCCTCCTGTCCTGTCTTTCCAAACTTTACGAACTGGTCTTCTTCAATCAATTATATAATCATATTTCTCCTGCTCTGGATCCCGCGCAATCTGGGTTTCGTCGTGGTGACTCGACCGCTCTACAGCTCACCAAGCTGATCCAAAACATTTCCGACCATCGTCATATGGGGCGGAAAGTTGCCATGTGCTTTTTCGACCTCGAGAAAGCTTTCGACACCGTGTGGCACTGTGCATTACTTGCTAAACTTTCCAAAGTTTTCGGTGTGTGTGGTGCAGCGCTAGAGTGGATAACAGACTACCTATCCGACAGAACGCAAGTTGTCTTTGTAGTTGGACTTCTCTCAGATGCTTCACCTGTTCTGTCCGGAGTGACGCAGGGATTCATCCTAGGGCCCCTCCTTTTCCTAGTGTATATTAATGATCTTCCCAGTCATGTTGAAGGTGTGTCCTTATTGGCTGACGATACTGCACTGCTCCGGTTCAATGAGTGTCTAGAGAGGCTGCGAGACAGTCTCCATCGCGGCATCAACTAAGTCAATCAGTGGATGACTACCTGGAGATTAAGACCTAATATCGCCAAGACTGAGATATTATTCCTGCCGAACTCTAGAGCCAAAATAATCATTTATTCTTCCCAGATCCCTCACAGATCTCACAGTGGTAAAGTACCACAAGCATCTTGGTTTGGTTACTGACTCAGACTTATCGTTTAGTAGACATGCCGACTATATTCGTAGCAAAGTCAGTAAAGCTGTTGGCTATCTCGTGTCTCATTGCTCCCACCTACCGCTTGAATGCATTTGCCTTTTTTATCATTGATATATTCTCCCCATTTTTTTTCTATTGCTCAACCGCCTGGTCATCCCTACTAAGTAAATCGTTAATGAGTACCCTGGAAGTCCACAATAAGAGGATACTGAAAGTCCTTTTCCGCAAACCTTCCCTATCTCTAGTCAAGCGGATCGAAAACTGTGTATTGTTGTTCATTCTATTCGTCTTTACAAAGCCCCGCCACACTTGCGTAAATATAACTGGTTTCTTCACACTCGTTCTACGCGCAATCCCTGCACTTTACCTAAAGCTCGAACATCAGCTTATACCAGATCTCCGTTTTTCGCTGCCTATTCTCTCTGGCTGGCCCTGCCTCTATCAGTAAAATCGTTTTGTACCCTAAATGGTTTCAAGGCCAATATGAAGCTCGTGTTCTAATAGAGAGGTTCTGCATCACGTGAAACGCAGAGAAATCACGTAGAGAGCAGGTGTCTGCGTTACAGTCTACAGCTCCCTATGTTTTGGGTCCAGATTTCTACGCGGAGATGAGGTTCTCTATGTTGTGGCACACGCAAAGAAAATGCGTACGGATTGGCTGGGTATCGATCAACTGATGCAGAAAACTGCCAAATATAGAAGGGAAAATCCCAGTACTCATTCCACGTGACTTCTCTACGTGAAGAGTAGAGCAGAACAGGATTTCTTTACGTTACGAGAACGTGAAGAGACTTCGCATGATTCTTTGCGTCATGTTCCCGAAACGTAGAGCAGAACCTCCCTAATACCGTATTTTCCGCGGTATAAGCCGCACCTGGGTATAAGCCGCACCCCCCCCCCCCCGTTTTGAGGCAAAATATTGACTAAAAGTTGGTATTCGGAGTATAAGCCGCACCCACAAACCAAAATTTTCACACTCATTGACAAATGGCCTTTCTACAAATTTATTATGTATGGATGTGTGGAAACCGGCACTTGCAGTACGCAAAATAGAGTCCCCGTATCTCTTTGCCTCCAGTAATGTGTAATATTTATTTTTCTGCTTTGTTTTTGTTTACTGCCATGGCTGGCTACTGCCCCCTCCGTCGATATTGGCCTATATTCTCTGGCCACGGTACGGTGAAATAAATAAAAATAAAACAAAATTGCATCACAGCTCAAAGAAACTATTTGATCGCAAAACGAAGTGGGACCCATGCTGCTCGTCAACATTTACAACACTTTCGTTTCGACAAGTTCTCTTTGACTCAATTACCGATACGAGGAAGAACTCGTTTGTTGTAAACGAGACGTGCATGACTGTATCAACGTGAGTGAGTTGTCATTCTTCCTGCTTTCACGTGGAATATTTCTTCCAGTTCACAGTGAGTTTTTCCAGGCAGCTCTCGAGTGCTAATACGGTAAGACGGCAAACTCCGCGGGCGATAGCCAGGATTGCTCATCTTTTTGAAACGGACTGTAGGTCCTTCACATTGATTCAATACCGAATAGCTAATGTTTATTGCATGAACCATATAGCTGGCAGTACTTATTGAAGAAATGAAGAAAATCTATCTGGCCGCTTTTGGAAAACGCCCGTCGGAGTACAGATATTTGCGTTCGGAACCGAATGATTCTAGTCTATACATGTTGCCACTCACCGACTTACAATATTTAATACTCGCTCCATAGCAAACCTGTCGGGCAAACTCATTCAAATCGGTGAGTACGACGGAAAGCGCCCCCTCAAGCTCCAACACCAGGCACCGCTCCAGACGCCAGCACGCCAAACACTGTAGCGTGGTCACCTCCACCGAGTCTGACAAGAAATTTGAACCGACAACCCTTGTCACTCCAAACAACAATCATTAATTTACTGAAGAGGGAAACATCCCCGACACAAGTTGTTTCACAGAACACATATTTTCGGTTTTACAAATCTTTTTAAAGGACTGACCAGTTTCGCTGTCTAAGGCAGCTCATCGGAGTGAAGAGAAAATGTAAAAACACAACAGAATTTATGCAGGCGAGAGTGGCACTAAATTATACATAGATACAAGTAGGCCGCCAAAATGCTAGGGGCCCCAAGAGCATTGGGAGTTCCTAATTTGGAAGTGCTGCATTTCTGTTATGACATATGTGTAATAATGTGGGCTTGAATACCAATATGGATGAATGCTTATATGGAACATGCTTTGTGATTATGAACTAGTTGTATGTTGTACATGAAAAAGCATGCAAGCCCAGTTTGTACATTATATCTGTCTGGTAATGTGTACAGACTTATTTTTGGCAGTGTCAATATATAGTGTCAATATATTGACACTGCCAAAAATTTCAGGAAAAGGGCCATAAGTCGTAGATTTCACGAAAAAACTGCTGTTTGATACTGACTTTCTTCTCATCGCGGACCAGTTTAGTACCATCATGACTTTTCAACCCGTGGCTTCTTTTCTCTTCTTTTTTCACATCACCCCATGTGGATCCGTGGAATCGATTCTGCCCAGTTTGTACATTATATCTGTCTGGTAATGTGTACAGACTTATTTTTCAGGAAAAGGGCCGTAAGTCTTAGATTTCACGAAAAAACTGCTGTTTGATACTGACTTTCTTCTCATCGCTTTTCTTTCACATGTACTTGTACATGATGTAGTCACTTTCGCATGTAAAATATTCCATGTTTACTTTGACGCTAAGTGTTGCCTGAAAAATGGACAATGACTAGGCATTCCCGATCTCGACGGTGTTTGATGATGACGAGACAGAAGAAATGCTGTTCTCTGCTCGGTGCGATATTGCTCCGTTTATGATGTTCCTTGTTTGTTACTGGAGCACAGCAGTGCCAAGAGTAACAAATTTTGCTGAAGCAACTGTGCCTAGCTATTCTATGAACAATTTTTGCCAGCATTTTCTTCTCCCTCCTTTATTTTGCCTTTCCCCTATTTTGTTGCTGGAAGAGGTTTGATGGAGTTGTGTGCATGTGCATGTGGCGGACCATTTTAGTACCGTCATGACTTTTTCAACACGTGGCTTCTTTTCTTTTCTTTTTTCACGTCACCCCATGTGGATCCGTGGAATTGATTCCGAATCGATTCCAGGGCTCACGACATGGAAATCGAACGACTTCAATGCATGCGAATGGATTTATGAAACAATCCAAGTGTGAAATCGAAAGCACTCAGCCGGGCCATCCTCCACTTGCTCTAGCGTTTCTCGGCCGTAAGTCGCAGGATCTGCACTCTGGAACCTGCTGCCAGATGATGTTGGGACCATAGCAAGACAGAACAAGTTTAACATAAGTTGCCTACCATATTGTTGGTAAGATTAGCCCACCCCTAGCTCTCCTCAACCACACTGTCACCCCTGATACTCGCTTGTCAGATACTTTCGTAATTTTCTAATTAGTGTCTTCTTTTTTCTAAATGCGGCTTATCCATTCGCCTTTATAACATTGGGTCTAGTTCCCGCTTATTGTGTGAATTAGAATAAACCAAACAACCCAGCAACATAGCCGATCGACGGATTTGATTGAGTTGATCGACAATCAAGATCAGAATTAAAATCTGGACGATGAAGGCTGATCAGCAACACGATATTTGCGTACATTTACCCGAGTTGCCAGAGTTCGCAGCATGCAGCAAGGTGTGGGTTTTCCCCAGGTTCGGTGAGGAGCGAACGTACGTCTGCTTGTTGTAATTTTCTTGTCGAGCAACCATTTGTCTCAAAAAGGTCGACACTCTAATCAGTGAGCTCATCACGTTATCTGGTTGCAGGAATATAGATCAGGTGGGAAAAGAGACATTATGTCGATAGGAATCAACTTTATTCTCTTTGTCGAGCTATGTCGCTCCGGCAACAGATGCCATCCATGCGTGAAACACAAAATTACTGTTGGCATCCTAAAAAATGCACGAAACACACGACCAACTTACCAGATACACGAAATAGCCGTGGATGCATTTCCGTACCCAACAAGTCGATCTCTCCGGGGTGCACCTGAAAAGCAAGTGCTCGAACCTGTCATACCTGTCATACTGGCCAACCCTCCCGGTTTTCCTGGGAAAATCCCGGGAAATCAACACTACTCCCGGGGTCCTTGGGATTTGACGGAAAATCCCGGACAAGTCACAGTTTCGTCTGATACAGGATTTTCCTGAGATTTGGTTTGAATGTCCCGGTTTTTTCAAAAATATGTACGGTGCGCACTTGCACTTCGTACTGTAAACGGCACTTTCAAGACCTGACCACAAGATCTGCACTGACAGGCGCTATAGGTGGGCGCCGACGCGCCGACTGATCAAACAGCAGTGCAGGGTTGAACTGTGCCGTACGCAGATCTGCAGAGTTGAACTTTTTTTGGTGGGAAAAGCCCTTTTCACTTGTTTTTGTGCCATCAAGGGATTTTGCGAAAAATCCAGGGATTCTGCATGTATTGTCAAGGGATTGAGATTTTGGTGGTTGGTCAGTATGCTACGTGGTCGAAATTTCAAATGATATTCCTGGAAAACAGGTTGCAGCTAGATCCCAAATCATGAAGTGCAGGGCATCGTGCCTCTTCATGGTTTCACTCAAGCAGCATTCCATCATACATCAAAGTAGTAGCATAGCAAATATCATGTGGCTGATCTACCTGATCATCTAGATTTTGATTCTCATCTTGATTGTCGATCAAATCGATCAAATCCGTCGATCTGCTATGTCACGCGGTGGTCGGCACACGGCCAGTTTCAGGACGCAAAAATATCGTGCTTGGATCGCACAAATTGAGATTTGTTCAATATGTTTGCACTTCTGCAGAGCGTTGCTGCTAGTGAAATTCAAGTTGTTCAGGGAAGGAAATGGTTGTTGTTTGGAGTGACAAGGGCTGTCATTTCGAATTTCTTGTCAGACTTGGTAGAGGTGACCACGCTGCAGTGTTTGGCGTGCTGGTGTCTGGAGCAGTGCCTGGTGTTTGAGCTTGAGAAGGCTCTTTCCGTCGTCGGGTATGAAATTGGCAATGTTGAAATGTGGTGAAGTGAAAGTATTTGAATTTGTTTATTTCCAGAAAACCTGGAACACTTACGAGACATGTCCTGGGTGGTAGTGGAGTTAGTCCACTATCCTGCAGTGCATGGTTCAGAAAAATAGACGCCGTAAATGGCTCCCGCTATGGCCCTTGACATTTGGCTATTCTAGCGATGCAATTTAGTGATATTTGGAGATGATGGCCATTGCTTTCCTGGATGTAGCCATGGCTCTATGTGGTGGTGATGTGAAGACTGCTCAGGTGAGGTAATGTTGGCATGGTGGTGGTTTGTTTCTAGCTCCATTGCGTACGCTGTACCAGCGCTCGTTTTGGACCCAATATTCAGTTGTATTTTGGGCCCATTTTAGCCAAGGTGTTACGAGCGCTTTTGCATGATTGTTGAGGACCCCAAAGGAAACCTACTTGCAAATTTTGAGTGAAATCAGAGAGATGGCCCGCCCAGCGTTTCTGGTTTTCTCAGATAGTTATGCTTTCTTAAAAATGCTACAAGATGAAAACCTTAAATTTCCCTGTCACACAATTTCCAACATTCCTTCATACTCTTTCCTTGTTCAGGTATTTGCAAAATAATAATCTCCGCTATCTTCCCGGTGGACTGCCTCATGACACACCTGAATTACGTGCACTGTAAGTCTTGCCTGACGAACAAGAATACAGAAAAACAATGTCACGGTTCGCGTGACACTCGGCAAGAATACAGACATTACCAGTATTTCATGATTCAGCCGTTTGCTCTTCCTCTAAGGATCTCTGCAGACCTGGGATAGTGGGTAGGCTGGGGATGTTGTTTAGGATAGCCATCAGAAGTGGCCCTACTATTGTGACTATCGAGTATGCAAGATAAGTAACAAAGGATACTACTGTCGATGATGAGGAGTATGAGTGTGATTTGCTCAGTTTATGATGCAGTTTTATCATCAGCAGATCAAGACTTTGCAGTGTGTTGCAAATTCCTGTAGGAGGACGTATAGCTTCTTTCGGTCTCCAATATAAGCGCGGGGTAGAGGGGTGTTTAAAAAATATAAGCACGGCGCTTATAATAGAGAATATACGGTATTTCTGGCCCTGACACTCGCTTTTCCTGGATAGTGGTGGTTTTGCACCCCATGTACTGTCACTACTACTGTTGTTGCTTGCGCCTGCAATTACATGTCTGCACGCAAATAGTGTACATGTACATTCTGTTTGGTGCCTGTACCCGTGCCATATTTAGAGTGGCTGCGTATTGCGTTATTTCTATACCAGGTTTTTTGTGATGTTCAGTTTAGTCTTTTTTTCTCTCTCGTAATAGTGCATGGAGGTGTGATATATTATAAGTTCGCAGCGCTCCTCATTTATTAACACAGCCTAACCAGTGTGCCAACTTCATTCCTGACGATGGATATTTCATGACCGAAATGTTGAAATAAATTAATTTTCTGGTGAAAAGCAGTGATTGAGTGTGAGCCGGTGTTGCCCACAACCAATTTATTATTATTATTATTATTACACAAAGGCACACAATGAAAACCTTGGCAAATTAATTCCGTTCTGACTGAGTTTCATGGCTGAAGGCAGCGCTGGTATATCTAAGTTGAGAGAGGTGTGATAATACAATAGCGAGAGGAGTAATCGCGTGAATGTATACAGGGACAGGCTATTTCAGAGGCAGATGCAGTAGGGGCAGGTCTAGCACTAACAAGCACGCGCTTAATCTCGCTCACACACCACACCCACCCACACGCACACACACACACACACACACACATACCAACACGCACAAGTAACACCCACACACATACACGAACACACTAACACACACACATACACCCACCCATAACACCCTAACTTCCACACGGGCGCACGCACACACAGACACCCACCCACCCACAACACCCTAACTCGCACACGCACAAACACACGCACACACGCATATGCGCACACCTGCTCGTAGCTGTACTGATGAGGCATTTTATGGCCGAAACAGTTTGCTGTCTACAGCATTGGGTATACACACACCTATGGATATATGCACACACACACACATACAAACACACATGTCCACACGCACACACGCATACACACTGCGTTCGTATGACAAATCTAACCGCACACAAACTCCTGCAATCACGCGTCAAAAACTCGCAGCGGTCATAGCTGTCTATGTTATAGGGGTGGTCAGCAGATGTGCTTGGACAACTTAGTCGATGCGGCGTACTTTTCATGGCGGAAGTCCGAAGTGTGTTTGTTGTAGCGCTGCTTGAATGTGGTAGCTGTCATGCCGACGTAGGTCTTAACTTCGTTGGATGCTATTGCCGCCGTCAAACAACAATGCACGGAAGTCAACATCTGTCAGCCCGTACCAATTGTCGTGAGTTGTACAGTGATAATGTGTTCTCAATGTTGTCACGTGGTAGATGTGCGTTGCATCTGGCTGTGTTAGAGGCTTTGGGCGGGGAGCTTGACCCATCTCAGACTAGCGTGGGAAGCGAGGAAGACGTCCCGAAAACCGCCCAATGTGACACCGGAGCTCGCGGACACCGGAATAGTTACCAGAAGCAAAGTGAAGAGACAAAGTACTGGAGATTTGAATACGTCGGTACTGGAAGTGACAACAACGATCAGCAAGAGGAAACGAGGAAGACCGAGGAGTCAAACGAAAACGACCATGAATTCAAAGGACGTTGGAGGTATCAAGAGAACAACGTCAAAGGTGACAGAGCTAAATGATCGAACATTGTCCATCAAGCGTCATTTGTTGGGAAGTGCTGATTGTCGTGAGTTGTACGAGGTGAATAGCAATTTCTGGACATGAAAATAAAATAGAGGCCCACTGGCTGTGTGTTTTACATTTTTCATATCTTTTCGTATCTATTGTATGGCCTAATCCTTCATCTTTCCAAATATGTGACAATTGCTCATGCTGTGATCCCAGAGACTTTTTAGCAGGTTGTTTTCGACAGGCCAATTTTTTTGGCCTAAATTTCAGTGTATGGAATTCTGGACATGAAAGTAAAATAGCGTCAATAGGCATCCTATACTGCACCATTTTTGTTATTTTTTCTATTGGTGGACTGCAGTTGGCCTCTTCACACTTCCAACCAACAGGTCCAAGACAATACAGCGTCTGAAGTGGAGTGCACATGGGGAAGCCAACGATTCGTCCATTACTTCTTATTTTACTCAAAATTCAAAATTCTCGTGCGACATAGTACCACAAAACTCGTTGAAATGCCTCCCAAGAAAAGGTTATCAACAAGGCACCGACACGAGGAGAAACTACAACAGCCCAGCTGTCAACTGCAACAAGAAAAAACTTCATCAACCTGATTGACTTGACTCTACACGCGACGAAAAATTATTTTACTCGAAATGTCCAGAAATGTACAATGTCCAGAAATAGCAATTCACCTCGTATAGTGAAGATATCTTTTCGGTTATAACTCGTGGAAGGTCTAAGTTACATCTTGCTGTGTTCGAAGCTCTGTATATTTGTAAACTAGATCCAGACCTATGTGTCCAGAAGGAGAATGTGTTAGAGTCGCAGTTGTTTGGTGTCACACCGCGTGAAAGTGTGACAAGTGTTCATTGATGTGTTTCAACGTGTTTGTCTACAACTTGCAGCTTTTGTTTTCGAGTTTTTAACACTTTAACCATTTTATCGCCTATGTTGAAGTGTTGACTTTTTCTCTATTTTCTATTAAGTTATACTTATGTGTTTTTCCAAATTTCCAACATTCCCTGTACTATCCTGAAGAGAAGGGAACGAAAACGTTTGATGGAAAGGAAGTGTCTACCGAATTGTGTGGATTTGCGTCGTTGCATGCGAATACTGATTACGAAACTGTTTTTCCACCACCTCCAAACTACGGTTTGAATAATAATAATAATAATAATTAAAAACCCTTTATGTACGGAAAAATGTACAAAGACTGAATTTGATCTCGACTCAACTCGAATTCCATAATTCTCCGGGTCATAACTTTAGTCTCCTTTTGACGATTGTTTCAATCCTGGGCTTCCTGGAAAGCTCGTCGCAAGCGGAACACATTGAGCCCACGAATGCCACCATGAAGGTCAAATCGCCAGCGTTACAGCCCAGCGTATTAGCTGCAATGCCAATTTTCCGACAGAAGTCTTCTTGTATCAGCTGTTTCGCTCTCCATGCTCGTAACAACTAGCTGTTACTTCCAAAAATTTCACAAACTGCCACGAGTCCGTTTACCATTCTGAACGTGTTTCTTCGTCACTCCATGCCCAGAATGATGGGGAAATCCCTCATTCAAATCTGCGCAAGCGGCTATTGAGCGACAATAGGCGCGATTCGACTTTCGAGCTTGGTAACTCTGGAACCGCACATCGGAGCATGTCAGCGATTGTTTCAGTGGACAGCTGGGAGTTTTTAATTCGATCTACATATTGTGGTTATTGGAAATAACCCAGGAACGACTGAGTTACGGTTGATTGAAATTTTGAAAAGTTTCGATCCCAGGGGATCGAAAGTTGTACAGTCCGTACACAAAGGGTTAAAAAGCTTCCGTGGAGATAAAAATGTATTCAACGCAATAAATAGAGTAAGCTGCGCACTCAGTACAAACACCATTAGCAAAACTTGTTTTCATGTAAATAAAGAAGCTTGTTCCTAAACGTTTTCGTCGCCATCTCATCAGAGGATTGTTGATTTGCCAGATTTGCCAGTAATCCTCTGATGAGATGGCGACGAAAACGTTTAGGAACAAGCTTCTTTATTTACATGAAAACAAGTTTTGCTAATGTTGTTTGTACTGAGTGCGCAGCTTACTCTATTTATTGCGTTGAATAATAATAATTTGAAACTCGGATGTTGAGCCATAAATAAATGTAAAAGCGAAAAGGACATATGGATACGAGTTAAGAGTAACTCTCCATCACTGTAACATGATACTATATACAGTCAGAAAGTCGAATGTCGAATGTCTCAGTACTCTGTCAGTTTTGTGCTTAGTTATTGCACTTTCTGACTGTATATAGTATCATGTTACAGTGATGGAGAGTTACTCTTAACTCGTATCCATATGTCCTTTTCTCTTTTACAATAATAATAATAATAATAATAATTTGAAACTCGGATGTTGAGCCATAAATAAATGTAGAAGAGAAAAGGACATATGGATACGAGTTAAGAGTAACTCTCCATCACTGTAACATGATACTATTATACAGTCAGAAAGTGCAATAACTAGGCACAAAACTGACTTTATGACTGTATAATAGTATCATGTTACAGTGATGGAGAGTTACTCTTAACTCGTATCCATATGTCCTTTTCTCTTCTCTTCTACAATAATAATAATAATAATAATAATAATAATAGCATCAGTCGTTTCTCTTTTCAGGCAGTTCACTTCCCCGACTGATACTTTGAATTTGAAGTTCTCCCAATCCTTTCCAAAATTTAATCACTTTCTTTCACCTCTGGTAGTTTCCAGAAACTGACCGTGGTTGGTCCCCTGGGGGAGGGAAAAAGACCCAAGTGCCATCAGTATGTGTGGCACGTGTTGTGAGCTGCCTTTGGAGTGAAAATCTTGTCAGCGCCTTCTGGGTTCAGCCTGGTCCCATAGCTCAGTGGTTAGAGCATTGCTCATGACAAGCAGGGTCCCAGGTTCGAG